ACTTATCATACTCCTCCCTTGAACCAATTTTAATTATAATGGTTCTCATTTTAAAGAGCTATCTACCTAATATGACTAGGCCAGCAGCCAAGGTGGCATATTCCAGCCTCCTTCCTCAGTGCATCACATAAAGAATCACAACAAACATCAAAGAGAAATAAGATGACCTGATTGGGATTCTTTCCTTAGCTAGTTGTGAGAATTGGGAGAATGACTTAAAATTTGAAGTTCCACTTTCCTCATCTCTGAAACTTGAATAAAAAAATCTCTTTCAGCTATAAAATTCCATGGTTTCAAGAATTTTTGCAATTAGGAAAGAAACTGCATCCAGTTTGTAAAGAAAAAAGTAAAATTAGCTCTTTTTATATGGCATGACCTTATATGTAGAAAACACTAATTATTTTCAAAAAACAAAACAAAACTGTGAGCTGAAATTTACAGAAAAAAAAATCATATCTGTGTTAAACATTCTTCTACAATACAGCTTGATTGGAACATTGAGACTATGGAGAGGAGATGTTGCAGATCCATAGCTAGTATCTTAGACTATTTTTAGCCCCTAAGAACTACTCACCGTCTGACTTAACATCCTTGTGGCTACATGAAACCTTTTTGGGGTGTATTAACTTAACAGCCCAATCTTTCACCAACTAAAACAATAGGAATGTCATAAGATAACATCTGAACCCTATAGCAGAGATTTCCTCACTTTACTGTAACCCACCTACCTGATATTTCTACCCCTTATTCAAAAGGTGCCTTTATCTAGAATTTCCTTTTATTCTGCAACTACCAAAACATCACAAAATTGTTACCATGCTAGAACATGTTATTTGGGGTAACGTGAAATCATGTTCCCAGGCCATGAACACTACTCTAGCTCCAGAATAAACTATCTTAGATTCTCTTTGAGGTGAGAACTGTGTTTTCATGTCAAAAGGCAAATTAAAAAAAAAAAAAAACACATGGAATTAACAAATGAATTCAGCAAGGTAGTAGGATGCTATGTCCACACACACAAAAATCAGTTGTATCTCTTTACTAACAATGAACAATATAAAAAGGAAATGAAGAGAACAATTCCATTTACAATAGCAAGAAGAATACAGTGCTCAGGAATTAATTTAACCAAGTAGGTGAAAGATTTCTACAATAAAAACTACAAAACTCCATTGAAAGAAATGAAAGATATATACATAGAAATACATTCATAAGCATGGACTGGAAAATTTAATATTCTTGCAATATCAGTACTGCACAACAACAATCCAGTCACAAAACAGTAATTCATGACATTGCTTATATAAAGTTCCTAGAATAGTCAAAATCATAGAAAGTAGATGGGATGATCAGGGACTCAAGACAGGCATATGAAAGGTGTGGTTAATGGTCACGGAGTTTTAGTTTTACAAGATGCAAAGGATTACAGAGATGGCTTGTGGGATGGTGGCATGGACTTCCTATCACTGACCTGTACATTTAAAAATGGGCAGGACAGTAAATTTGTTTTGTTTGCATTTCTTTACCACAAGTGAAAACTAGAAAAAAAATCCATGACTGTATAAAAACAGAAGGAGAAAAAAATTCCTAAAAATACATAATATGAAGAAGTGGCAGAGGTGTAGATATTTATTTAATATCCATATTTTTCACCTCTTTCCTCCATTTCCATGGCTTCCACAAATCACTATCCTATGGGCAGATAAAGGCTTTCAGTTCGGTTGACTTGTTAAAATCTGGTTCCTTTATTTAAACTGCTTAGCATTCTATGCATTCCATTCTTGAAGAATACAAAAATGGCTAATACCACACTAAAAACCCCTCAATCTGCTGCCTAGACTTCAATTCGCATAAACTTGTTTTATCTCTTTAAATTTGGATAATATTTTATTAACAGATAAGGATTTGCAGGATCTTTCAAACCCGGAAGCAGTATAGGCAATTTTATATTGGGTCATAATCAAAACAGTGCCACGACAAACCCTGAAGCCTATACATTTACTTCCAACCAGCTTCTACAGCTTATTGGGAAAACCTGTGCTGATAAATTGCAGCCTGCTGTGCAGATAGAAGGTGCTGCCTGCTGAGGCAGGATAGAAAGACAGAGAATTGAGGAGACTTGGGAATAGAAAGGAGACCCCATTTTGTACTTGCTGAGAGTCAAAGACATTCTTACAAACAAGATCAGGAATTGTTTACAATCAAAACATTTCTATGGAGACTAAGGATTCCTTTGACTTTTTTGACCTCTGTTTTTATCTTATCACCCTCACCCTGTAAATCTATACACTATACCATAAACTACTTTAGCTCATTTACTAAAGAAATGATACCTACATAAAAAATAGGTACACCAAGAACAGTTTTACCTAATCTTTTAAAAGCCTTTAGGACACTTAAATGCAATTCTATATTGAGAAATCTATGGCCACAGTTAGGTATGTACTGTTTCTTTCTTTTCTTTTTCTTAAGTCATTCTCCCTCTTTAAATGCTCTTACTAGATCTACATTAAAATTTTAAAATTATTTATTTAATAACTACATAATTAGAAGAAGCATTTTATTACAACAGCATTGACATGTTCAATTCAACCTTAGAGATAGAGATGGCTCAGCAGTTAAGAGCACTGGCTGCTCTTCCAGATGGAACGGGTTTCATTCCCAGCGCCCACACAGTGGCTAACAACGGTCTGTAACTCCAGTTAAGGGGACCCAGTGCCTTCTTCTGGGCTCCACAGGCTTTTCACAACACAGGTACACTTGTATACATGCATGCAAAACACTCACACCCATAAAAATAATTTTAAAAATTAAGAAAAAAGAAATTCCAACCTTGCTTAATCCTACTGTCTCATCCTCAGATTCTTTTTTGCAATGTGTTTAAAATGTGAGTAGACGTGTCCATAAAGAATTCCTTTGGCAGCTATAGGAAGCTACATAGGTTGTAGCCTCTTCTACTACCCATAACTACTGACACTCCCACCTAATGCTTAAAAAAAAAAAAAAGACAGACAAAACCCAAGATGCATTCCCAAGACATACCTCTCCCATTCCTACTTAATCATATCCACTTAACACAAAATTTACTACTGACGTACATTCTCTCCATACCTGACCCTTTCCTAACTTCTTTCCTTCTTAAAAGCTGTCTTTGCTCATGTTCATTTTGGAGCATTTTCAGCTTATATAAACAAGCAGTGAGCAAGATATATACAATATCCAGTTGTAATGTGTAGACCTAAAACCACAAACATTTCTTTCACAAACTTTATTCTTCAGACTAAATGTCTGAACAAGGAGAAACTTTAGGATGAAAAATAATTTCTTTTTCAGAAGAGATGATGCTAATAAAAGATGACTTGTTTATTAGCCTACAATCTGGCATTTCCTCCTGTGTGACTTAATATCTTAGGCCTCTTTTGGCTCAGTTATTCTCACCTATTAATTATTTTAACTACTATAAGTTATCAGCACAGTGCCTGTGCTAGGTGTCTCTGAAATGACTTCCAGGGATCTTGCCTCATGGATTTCAAGTCTTTGTGTCATCTCTCTCTCTCTCTCTCTCTCTCTCTCTCTCTCTCTCTCTCTCCAATTGGGGTTGAACTTAAGACTCCCAACAAATACAAACTGGATGCAGTGACTGAGATTAGATTTTAAAAGATTAGTATCTTCCATCCCTTTGGAGGCTCTTTCTTGGACTACCTGCCATAGGCTTCCACACTGTAAAAGAGTTTTATGAAGAAGCCCACCCACATGCTGAATAACCTAGGCCAGCCAACAATCATGCATTTGGAAGTGGACACTTACTCCCTATCAGCAGAGCCTATCAATAGCAACACAACTTCCAACTGCAGTTTAACTACAACCTCATGAAACAAACAGAACCGCTCTGTTGACATTTACCCCAATTCTTGGCCCTTAGAAACTAAGAGAATATATGTTTGTTGTTTTAAGCTGGGTTAAATTTGCGAGTGATGTGTTAATCAGAAATAGATAACTAATGAACCAACTCAGACAACAGTTAATTCAGGCACCCTGCATAAAAATGACTTACTGAGTTAATCTGAACATATAAATTTATTTGTTCTTCATTCTGAGACTTGCTCTATTTTGTAAACCATTTTCATAGGGGTCAGGGAAGAAGTTTCCAGTTTAGAAGCATAAACACCAAACTCCAAACTTTAAAAGAAGAAGAAAAAAAGCTAGAGGTGATGTTGAAAGCCTACAATTCCAGGCTGTGGGAGGTGAGGTGAGGTGAGGTGAGAGCTAGCTCAAAGATAAAAATGAGAGAAGAAAAGCAGAACTGGAAAACCAGTTGAATTCGGTTGCAGTAATAAAGGCAGTTATTTGAAGAGAAGCATAGTGGATCCTTAAAATAAAATTTTTACTTCTAAAACAAGTAACCACAATTATTAGCAAATACAGAATGCAAAATAAAACTAAAACATTTCGAATGAAAATAGCAAATTTTTGTAATTTTGTCCAGTGAACAATATGAAGTACCACATGAAAACTGGAACTCAGTCACAGAAAAACCAAAAAGTTTTAAACAAATCTTACAATCAGTTTGGCGGCTGCTGCAACAATCTTGGCCCTAAAATGTGTTTGCATTAGTAGTACCAAAATAGTTTAAAGAATCAAAAGCTGTGCCTAGACACCCTAACAGCACTCTGACGCTCTGAAAAGCAGCAGGTGAACCTCAAGAAAGTAAGTCTAGCTGTTTCTGAATGACACCAGAACTACCTGCAGTTCCAAGTCCACCTGTACAGTAATGGCCTAGAAGGACCCACGCCCGCCCTAAGACTCGGGTCTCCATTTTAATAAGCTACCGGGGCTGTCACTCAAGATGTTGTACAGTATCATAGGTCCCAAACTCCTGCTTAATGGACCAGTTTCTGCCAAGAGGCAAGCACCGGCTGCCTTCATTTCCGAGAAAAGTGAGGGTGGACAGGAAAAAGATATAAGGCATCGGAAGTGTCTAGACCAACGGTCGTTCTTACCTGAGCGACCTGAGATCTCGACCGCCGCCGCGACGAATCGGCCTGTGGGCGGGGGCTGCCAGCCAAGAGAAATCGGCTCAGCCGGGAACTGGTGCCCGGGCCATGGAGAGGCCTGTGCAAACCGCAGGGGTTCTCGCTGGGGAACTCGACGGCTGCGAGAGTACCAGAAACAGCCCCAGACTCCGGCGAACTCACAGGACTTCAGCCTGCCGGAGCCCGAGCTGCCGACAGTAGAGTTTTTGACGTTTCCTATTGTTGCCGGAAGTGACGTCGGGGTGCGCGCCCTTAAAGAAGCAGCATTTCTGTTTCGCTGTTTCTGATTCGCTATAGAGTCTTAACTTCTCGCTTTACATTCCGAGACATTCTGGACATTAAAATTATACTCATTTCTAATTAGCTCTTAAGATGAGGAAGATCATTGAGAATACTTTCATATGAATCAAGTCTTCCAAGTAATCCGCTTGAGTGGCGTATGGAATCTGCCGGGAGGAATCTCGGAGCGCGGGGCAGCAGGCGGCTGGGAAGGTTTTAACGCGGTGCGTGGCGCGTTGGAATCCGCCGTTCTGAATACAAACGGTCGGCGCGCGAGGTGCCCTGGACGCAGGCTTCTGTGCTCAGGGGCTGGTGCTGGAGCCGCGTTCTGCCCAGTGCCTCGGGCTACATCTGCTCCCTTTTCCTCTTCTTTCCGCTTTGGGCCAGGCTCCTCGCGAACCCTCAGGGCTGTTCTCCCTTTTGGGCAGAAGTCGCGGGTCTGAGGTCCCCGCCGAGGCTCCTGGCGTGCCCGAATGACCAGGTCTGCCTTTTCATCCTTGTAAATCAGGTGGCGGGAAGGGAATCTGAGATGTGCCTTTTAATGGATCCAGCCGGCATCTGGTTTTGATAACCGCTAAGTAGGAAGAATCGTACTTAGTCCTCCTAGAATGGGTTCCTGACTTAGGACTGGAGTTAAAGGCCGATGGATCTTGGGTCCTCCTACCTGAGGCTCCATCTGGCTTCAAAAGATTGACTAGAGGAGTTACAAGTACTACGTGTTTTCTTTGCTTTCATTTTCCCGGTGTTGGAAGACTTTTTCCATGTACTTTGATGACTGCAGGTTTTTCCTTTACTATAAAGAAAATCATAAATTTTAATTTTTTTTATTCTGTTTTTTCAGAATTATTTGCAAATATTTACCAGTTTCAATGTGTGCACAGACCTGTCACTGAGCTGTATCTCCTTCCTCCTAGTAATCGCGTTTAACCTTCCTCGATTCGTGTGTGTGTGTGTCCAAAACAGCATTTCCCTAGTATCTGTTATAGAAATTTACGTAATTTAATTTCAAGTCAGTCTTATTCCTCTAATTTTGGCACATGAATTTCAGATACATCGAGTGTTTTGAGCTAGGTCACAAACTCTTGACTATGCACTGTGATTATTAGAGTGTACTTACCCCATTCTGAACAAAGATGATTTTTGAGTCCAAGGCTGAGGACCTAGGTCAGTGGTAGAGGGGTTACATAGCATGCCAAGGCTTTGGGTTCAATTCCCAATCCCTTAAAAGCTGTATTATACCACAACCTCTTCCAGAAATTCTGTTGGCTGTTGATTATAGACAGTTCCTGGGAAAGCTGTGTAGTGATACTGATACATTAATGATTGAATCTGTGTAAGGTGAATACTACTCTTTCTTTGTTTAATTTCCTTTGATAAAGTTTATAATGTGCTAATCACTTTCCTTTTTAAGTAACAAGGTATTTTTTAATCTCAGAAAAAGCTGTGTTAAAATATGTATAAGATTGCTTCTTGGCTTTTTGATATCAAGTGCAAAGTATGCTTAAGTAGTAGATTGGCTTCATTTAATCTTAATGTTAGTGTTTTCCAGTTTTTAAAATAATTTTTTAGTAAAGCCTTCCTGAAAACTTACAGCAGTAACTGTAAAATCTTTTCTATAATCACTTTTTCTTATCTCTTTAGTTTTTTTCTATCCGATCTTGTCACCTGTCTTCTTCACCTGCATATCAAAGCTGTACTCAAAGCTTACTGTTCCTTAAAGCTTTTATTCTGCTGGTACTGAAGAGGATGTTGGGCATACTTTGCTGTCAGAAATTATTACCAGAGGTCAAAATAATGAAAGAGACTTTGAATGTGTTCTAGGTTCTAGATTATCAGAAAAAGAAAATGTTAGATAAATAGACAAAATACTAGATAAAAGTGCATAGCCTAGGTGTGTGTGTGTGTGTGTGTGTGTGTGTGTGTGTGTGTGTGTGTGTATGTAAATGAAATTGGAACAGAAAGCTACACTTTTAATTATGGAGTGTTCATAGGAAGATGACCAAGAAGAATTGTGTTAAGTTAGATGGGCCTGTGGGTCTGGAACCTAAAACAAGACCAATAATCTATTAAAACAAACAAACAAACAAAAAACCCCAGTACCTTCCCCTTTTTTTTCACAGCTAAAGCAAAGCAAGAATAGTCCCCCCCTATGCCTTTCCTAGGTAAGTGAAGGCTGGTCTGGGAACTCTATCTTACCATTTCCATATGTCTGTCTAACTCCAGGCATAGTGGTTTTATTGTCTTTTTAAAATTATTTTTATTTTATGTGTACGAGTGTGTTGCCTGCATGTGTGTAAGTCCACCCGTGTTGTGCGATGCCCATGGAAGACCGTTGGATCCCCTGGTGGACTTATGTACGCTTTATGTACTTAGCCTCCATGTAGCTGCTACTGGGAACTCAACCTGAGTCCTCTGCAAAAGCAGCCAGTGCTCTTAACTGCTGAGCCATCTCTCCAGTCCCTTTTTTGTGTCTTTTTGAGACAGGGTCCCCAGCTGCCTAGGACTCAGCCTGTAGACCAGAATAGCCTGGATCTGACAGAGATCCACCTGCCTGTGCCTTGAGAGTGCCCAGGATTAAAAGCATAGGTCACCATGCTCAGCTCACTGCTCCAGTCATCTTAAAAGATGATAACTAAAGCTTACCTTCTTGCCAATATTTTGTATAACTTGAACTTAGAATCACGTCCTCTTTCTGTTGTTTCTTTTTATCCCCCCTAAAATCCCTGCCTAAAAATGTTAATGCTTAATCAGTGTCTCAAAACAATGACTGAAATGTGCATGTCAGAATGTTTAAAGGTGTACTCAGTGGTTTGTTCATTATCAAGTTCATGAAGGAGATGAGATGAGAATAAGAATGGTAGCTGTGTTCCTAAGGAGAAGGAATGGGTGCCCTAACCTAGGGAAGTAGCTCATGAAATGGGCTGCTGGGGCCTTACTAAGTTCAAGATTCTGCGGATTGCTAGCCTTATCACCCCTCTGGTGTGTGGATACGGAGATGTGCAAGGAGGTACTAGAACTCGCAGGCTGGATCACTGCTGAGATGGAGACAGGATTAAGATTACACTAGTATACTCATCTAATTTATGAATTGTTCTCTTTTGTTTTAATATCAGTGATTTCATTTTAAAGTTTCATTCTCAGCAGATCATTTCTCAAGGTACTGTTATAATAATTTTCCCAAAGATACTGATAAACCATGATTTTTTTTAAAACCATGATTTTTTTTGTTTTCGGTTTGTTGTTTTGTTTGTTTTTAAAGACAAGCATCTGATTAACATCTATGTGTGTTCCAAGCTCTGAGGATAATAGTTAAAAATGATTAAATCTTGCTATAAATTTGTCTTCTTTTTTTAATTGGTTGTATTATATAGCTTCTATAAGCATTCAAAACATTGCTGGAGGTTATTTCAATTTGCTGTCTTTCCAAATAGTACCTGCCATGATTTGGATGTAAAATTTCATCCACTGGTTCATATGTTTGATGATCCCTTGGTCTCTAGTTTGTGGTGCTGTTTTGGGAGGTTGTGGAACCTTTGGGAAGTGGGATCTAACTGGAAAAAGTGAGTCAGAGGGTGAGAAGTCCTTAATATTATAGCCTGACCCCACTCTGTCCTGCCTCTGTCTCCTGGTCTGTTGAAATGTGAGCAAGCAGCTGCCACATTCCCCTGCCTTCACAGAGCTTCCTGCCGCCATGCCTTCCCCACGTGAGGGGCCACACCCCCACAGGCTTTAAACCACAATCTGCCTCTTTGCCCTTAAATTGCTTTTTGTCAGGTATTTGATCACAGCTGCAAGACAGTAACTAATTCATTCCCTTGTTCAAGGTAAGAGTATTTGGGAGAGTGCTATGTGAAGTGTGTTCTAAGAGCATAACATAAAAAAAGAAGGAAAGGTGGAAGCTAGCATTCAGAGTTTTACAGTGGACAAAAAGCAGTAAGTACTTAGAGAAATTGAGCTAGGAGAACATAAATATGGTGGGTGCTGGTAGGCGATGTATACAAAACAGAATAGAAAGCTTAAAATAATACATTATTTAACCAATATTTCATTAATTTTTATTTTTAGGTGAAAAGTTAGATTGAGTTGAAGCTGATTCTAATGATAAATAATGGCAACAGGTGATGTGAAAAGAAGCTTAAGGAAGCTAGAACAAGTGCTTCGTTCACTAAATTACCCTAAAGAGGTGGATTATGTAGGGTAAGCTATAATAAATTTGACATGTGAAACTTAATTGTATTCTTTTTTACTGATAATTTGAGATAGTATATGACTCAGAACACTAGACAGAAAATAAAGATTTTTGTTTGGGTCCTCTTTAAATTTTCTTCGAGGGCTGGAGAGATGTTTCAGAGTGCATATTGCTTTTAGAGAGGACCTGAGTTCAGTTCTCAGCACCCATGTGAGGAGGCTCACAACCACTTATAACTCCAACTCCAGGGAATCTGACAACCTCTTCTGGAATCCATGATCACCTGCACTAACACCTGAACATTAAGCTTCCCCATATACATACAATAAAAAAAATGAATCTTAAAGAAAATTGCTTCGAAATGTTTCTAATCTTTGAGAAAGCAGAGAATTGTAAGAGTGTGTTTAAAAGTATATATGAAATATCCCAAACCAAAAAGTGAGTGATGTCTGTTATCACTGTAGACATCAGTCTAGATACTGTTTCTGTGTAATATTAAGCTCACCAAAGTGTAATAGATTCTATTAATTATATAATCTGCCATTCTGTCATTCCACTGCATAATAGTATCTTCAGTACAGCCACACCGAGCAGAGACGTTGCTGTCATAAAGAGTGAATAAAGTTGTGTAGGCAAAAACTTGAACACCCTTCTAGACATTGACATGAGCTAAGGACGTGGAGCTCTCACCGAAGCAGTGCACAGGCCGCCTGACCACAGCACAAGCTCTTCCCAGTGTGTTCTTCATTTATAACTTACAGTTCATAAGATTTATCTTTGCAGGTTTATGTAGAGAAGAAAGGAGGTAATGTCATAAGTGTTTGCAAAACCATAAAGTTTTCTTAAGAACTTCAAAGCAGTACTTTTTTATTAGTAGGAAAAATGAAATGGATCAAGTAACAGTAAGCGTTAGACACTCACTGAAATCTGTAGGATAGACTATTGGTTCTAGAGAAGTATAGTAAGGTTTTGAGCACAGGAACAGATGAACATTACTATTTCATAGTCTCTCCAGGGTGGTTTAGAGTGGGAGATAGAATCTGGAGGGTCATGAATCAGTTACTGTTTCTTATAGTTCTAAGTGTAAATTACTGGCAACATTGCTGATACTTTCTTAATTACCCAGCTTTTGGAATTATGCTAATTAAGTCTTTTTCTCTTTCCCTGGCAGTCTGATAAAGGGAGACACAGCAGCATCTTTGCCCATTATTAGCTATTCTCTTACCTCATATTCACCTTATATCACAGAACTTCTGATGGAATCCAATATAGAGCTCATGGCAAAGAATGACGTACGCTTCACAGATACTGTCTATAAGGTATTTTGAGTTTGAAAAAACAATGTTTTATAAGTCATTGAGTAAATTTTTAAATTAGTGTTTTTTTAAAAAATATTTTTATTTTATGTGTATGAGTGTATTGCCTGCATATATGTAAGTACCCCATGTCATACATACAATGCCTGCAGAGGTCAGAAGATAGTGTCAGATCCCCTGAAACTGGAGTTAAAGATGGTTGTTAGCTGTCATGTAGGTACTGGGAACCGAACCCAGGTCCTCTGTAAGAGTAGCCAGTGCTCTTAACTGCTGAGCCATCTCTTCAGCCCCAAAATGTATGTTTTAATAATAACTTCATATACAGCCATATGTCACTTAAAAGTGGGGATACATTCTGAGAAATTCATTGATAGGTGATTTTGTCCCTGTGTAAACATCGAAGTGTGCTTGCACAGACCTAGATGGTATAAGCCTGCTATATACCTAGATAGACTACATGGATAGCCTATTGCTCCTGGGCTACAAACTTAGACATTACTGTTGTGAATATTGTAGGCATTGTAATACAGTTTATTCGTGAATCTAAACAAAGTACAGTCAAAATACTAGGCAATAGAAAGATTTCAGCTTTATTATAATTTGAGACCACTGTTAATTGTCATTTTTCATTGACCAAAAATGTTTTGTGTCACATGCCTGTGTACAAAGCTTGTATGATTGATATAATAGTTTCATATGTGGTTATCTCATTAAAATGTAGTCCCTATTGAAATCAAGATGTACTTTGTGTTTGCTTTATCAATGTTTCTTATTAATTATGGCAATTGATAAACATTTGTCACTGGCGTCATTTGCCTGTTTTTCCTGACCTGTAATATGGAATTCCAATGAGCTATATACTTTTTGTAGTCCCAAGGATAACAGTGGAACTTTCTGAAGTGACATTATTTTTCTAGGATAGTTCTCTCTGGCATTCCCTAGCTATCCGTATCTCCTACCTGCTGGTGACTCAACACCAGCTCTGTAATCTTAGTATCTTTAGTTAATGACTTGATCTCCCTTGTCTTCTCAAAGGTACCTAATGCCCTACATACAAGGTAGTAGCTATATATCATTTTGGATTAAAGAAAGAATTTGCTCCTGATTATTACATTGATTGTTTTCTTCATAGCTTCTTCGTGATCAATTTGATTATAAACCAATTTTGACAAAAAAGCAATTTATACAATGTGGATTTGCTGAATGGAAAATCCAAATTGTTTGTGATATATTGAATTGTGTGATGAAAAAGCACAAGGAATTGACTGGTCTTGATAAGGTAATTTTATGAATAGGTTTTAATTCTAACTTATGCTAAATAACCCAGCATTTTAATACATGCATTTAGTACCCTCAGTAGCAAGTTCTTACAACGTAAAATTGTCACTAGACCCAGAAGTTCTTGATCTCATTAGAGGAAGAATTCTAGAACAGATATAGACTAGACTTGAGTAGTGACAGATTTAATGAAGCAAAAGCAATAGTTTGCTCCCAAAGGGAGTGGGCAATTCAACCGAGTACCCAGCTACTCTGACTCTTGGGCATTAGAGGATTTTATGGACTAAAGGGAACTCTTATAGTTAATAATCCTATATACATACTTGTGGAATTTTCTAAGAATTTGAAGAGAATCTCTAATAACAGGAAAGAAGGAGTATTTTGACTATGTATGGAGTGTTTTCAACCAAGATGGTTATTTGGAGGGAGGCATATGTGTAAAACCACAAAGAGATGTTGAGAAGTCCTCATTCTAAGTTTTTGTTTCTCACAGTCTCTTGTATACCACAGCTAACTCCCTGCAGAGCACAGCTAACTTCAACAGTAGCATGTTCTGCAGTCTCTACCTGGATCAGGCCACGGCCCCTAGTAATTCTATATCCCAGTATTCCCTAGCACTGCTTATCTGTGTCTTAATAACTGCACTATTCAGATTAGGTAAACCTATAAAGCATCATATTTACTTTAGATGCTAGTCACATGTTTTTATATATCCGTGACTTGGAATTGCTATCCTAAATTAGCATTTCAAAGGAAATATATTTTTATCACTTTTTATGGTTTTTTATTATTTGTTCATTTTGTTTTCTTGTTTGTTTGTAACTTTCCCAAGCTTGCCTCAGACTTGCTCTACAGCCCAGGCTGGCCTCAGTCCTCAGTCTCCTATGCGTGGTATTACCAATCTCCCTTCTTTTTAGAAAAAAGAAAAACATGTTATTTCATTAGTCTCACTATTTGTAAATTATCAGAAATGAATACATGATAATGGAATTTAAATCTAGATTATGCTCTTATACAAAACTATTATTTTGACTAATACTTTTCCTTTTTTGTAGATTACATCGCACCAAGGAAAGAAAATTATGTCTGATAAGCCAGAACCTTGTTCAACCACTGAGAAAACACTTGCCACGGCTGTTGGCATTGATGTTACTGGCAGGTTTATAACTTCAGGAAAGGTGTGAAAATGCAAAGGAAAATACCATTTTATAATGTTAATGTACTTTCAGCTAATTTCCTTCTGGGGAAAAGTCTTTGAAACTGAAGAATAGACTGTAGATGAATAATCAATGTGTAATTAAATAAAAGATGAAAATTGTTTCTGGATAAATAAAATATAGAGAATTATTTCTTTCCTAATCCAAAATATATGATTATCAAAGCTATAATTACCAGAAATTTGATTAAATACTAAAAAAAAACAGTTAGAGCATATAAGTACCTTTCGTTGTTGACAGTTCATAATAAATAGTTGAGTCAGTGCTAAAGGAAATTGCCTTCTTCCTAATGCCTTATATAAATGCCATTCATGATTCGTTTGTCACATATATTAAGTTTTTTCACTGCCTATGCAGACAGTATATAGAAAAGGAAGTAGGTAGAAAAGCCATGTGTAAATGCATAGTGTGACACCCTTCTTGTCAGTACTTTCACTTTTTCATTTTGAATTTTAAGCTAAAGATATTAATGATAAGTATGATTCATTAGAGGATATTGTAATGAGTCCACAGAGCTAGTTGTTGAATATTTAATTTGTAAAGTTTTGACGACCTTATTTATTTAAAGACAGAATCTCACTATGTACCCAGGCTGGATGGGACCTTATAATCATCCTGCCTCAGCTTCCAAGTGCTAGAATTATAGTGTGTACCACCACATATAGCAGGTTTTGTCACTGTCGTTTTTAATAGCTTTCTGTCATGGACCGATTCAAAAATTTAAAAGTACCTAGCATCCTGTTTCAGCAATCATTTTTTGTTAAACTTGTTTCATCTTTATTGTAACTACTTTTGCCACCATTTTGAAGCAACTCAGATATCATTAAAGAAATATTTCAATGTTTTTCGAAAAGCCTAAGAAGTCTAAAAAAATCTGAACCACAATTACATTAACATATATAAAATATTATACTAATATAATAATATTAATATGTCTTCATACATTGTATGTGATAATTTAAGTGTCCTTAAGTCTTGAAGTACATTGGGTGTTCTTTCTGAAGAATCACTGTGAGTAGACTAAGAGTAAAACATTGGAGTTTTTCTCCCATATTTGTCTGCAGAAGAAAGCTGTGGTGATCCGGCACCTGTATAATGAAGGTAATGTTGGAACTTCTGAAGATGCATTGAGTTCAGCAACAGATGTTAGTGAAGGATGTGATGAAGCAGATGAGAAAATTTCTGAAATACTGATTCCTGAAGTCAAATTCTGTGAACTCGAGGCCAACCCACAAGTAAGGATTTACTTTAACAGACACCAGTATTTCTTTGAGAGCTGGTTATTTCAGCATTTAAATATTGAACTATTTCTAACATACATATATGTGGCATGCTGTGTGCATTATGATTATTAAATATCAGTAAATCCTACTGAATGTAATTCAGCAGATGTTGTTTATTGGCTGTTTAGGGTTTCCCCTGTGGTTCAAGTAATGCAGAGAAAGAGATGGTTCTTCTGGAAATTTACAGTCTTAATGAGAGAGATGTTCCACTTTATATGGTGGGGGTTTCTCATTCCCTGTCTTGGTGAATTGAAAAGTTTTCTTGGGGGGAGGTATTAAGGTGTTACTATGTAGCCCTTGCTGACCTTATACTCTCCATGTAGCCCAGGGTTGCTTTGAACTTGCAATAAACCCGTGCTTAGCCTCTTTGAGTGCTGGGATTATGGATGTGTGCTCTCACATTTGGTTTCTTGCTATCCTACAACTTTTGTTACCCCTTTCTGCCACAGACACAATCATGTATGTAATCTCCACTATTTCTGCTAAAATGTTTATGCTTATGACTTTTAGACTTTTCAGATTACAGTTGGCATTTATAAAAATGACTAGCCGGTAATTGGGATCCCATTCCCATATATGATACTTAATAATTTTAGCACATTGTCCTTTTTTTTGCCATTTTCTCTTGGCTTTGTGGGAGATATTGTTTCAAGAAACTAGTGACACTTGCACTGAACTATCTAGTATATTTTTAAGAGCATTATGCAGATTAACTTGCAAGAAGCATTTTAAGTAGTTGGTGTGGTTACTTCTTCGTTTTTTAGATTAAAAAAATCAAGTCATCAGTCATATCTGAGAAGCCAGTTTAGAGGTCCACGCTACTGCCTCCAGGGATGGCTCTTTGTTCTCAGAGTGCACTTCTTCCCGGACTATTGAAATAGCATGGTGGAGATGAGACTGTTTGTAAAGGAATTTCATTTCATTCAGTATCTGTAATCCTGTTAATGATTTTAGGACATAAATGATAGTCCTGAGATTGCTGCACTTCAGACCATGTTTGCTGAATGCCAAGAGAAGCTTAAGAAGCTGACTTGGATAGAGAAAAGGCTTGACTGCTTGGAAGAAGCAGTGAAAGGGAAAGTGATGGTAGAGGAGAAAGCCTGGAATAATCTTCTGAGTCGTGTCACTCTTCTTGAAACAGAGCTAATTTTGTCTAGAAAGGTATTTTATTAACATGTAAAGATTATCTCAAATGCAATAAAATATTGGTTGTATTGTTTTCTGTATTGCTTTGGAAAAGAAACATGAGGCTATTCAGGAAATAGGAGAATGTTTAGACTACAGTCTAAAGTACAGCAAGTTTTCTTATCATGCTTAGGTCTGTTTTTTTTTTTTTCCTCTATCAAATAAGATAATTAAGAATCCTGTAAGTTGAGCTGTTAGTGATTAATAGTACTTGAAATACTCAAAATGAGGTAAGAATGTTTGACTTTATAAAATCTTGAAATTATTTTCTTATTTCACTAGGGCAAATGGCCTTTGTAGTTTGTAGGAAAAGTTGCAAAAGAGGAAGTCAAAATACCTTTCCTTTTTCACTCATGAACTTCAATCATAATGTGAATTGCATAGAATAGTATTAAATTTACCACTGCCATATTGAATCTGAGATGTTTGTTTCTATTGCTTAGGATTCAATTTCTAGTCTACTCAAGGTTGCTATCTTCTTTCACATTTAAAAGGTTATTTTTTTAATATTTATTAGTTTTATTTTATGTGTATTGAGTATATTGTCTGCATGTATGTAAGTGTATCTATGTCATATAGTGCCCGTGGAGGTCAGAAGAGGGTGTCTCATCCCCTGGAACTGGAATTATGGGCAGTTGTTAGCCACCATGTGGATGCTGGGAACTGATCCCGGATCCTCTGCAAGAACAGCCAGTGTGCTTAACTGTAGAGTGATCTCTCCAGCCACAAAAAGATTGTTTTTTATAGAGAGGAATAGTTGTATATTGCTTTGTAGATAAAATATTAAAACTATTTAAACATTTCCATATGCCCTGTTTGTATTTTATGTTTGGCAGTGTAAAGTAAAACATTTTTCCTTTCATTTATTCTAAATATTCACCTGTACTTTCCAGAACGAATACAAAGAGCTTAGTGCAGCATGTGAAGACTATGGTTCTGTCAGTGAGGTGGATATTGGGCCCTTTGGTAAGTTCTTAAATTATATTAATAGTATTGGTATGCAAAGATTTTTCAGAACAATAGTTTTATGAGCATTTGGTACCATTAGCATTTTCATGAACCTTTTCAGAGTGTGTGTGTGTGTCTGTGTGTGTGAGTGTGTGTGCAAGTGCATATGGAGGCCAGATTTTGACATCAGGTTTCTTCCTCAGTCATTCTCCACACTTTGTGAGACAGGGTCTGTCACTTAGAGCTTACTGATTGTGCTAGGCTGACTAGTCAGCAAGCTCCCAGGATCCTTCTGTCTCCACTTCTCTAATGTTGGGGTTAAGAGATGCATACTGTTGCATCTTTTTTTTTTTATTGAATTTTTGTGATTTTCATACAATATAGTTTGATGGTATTTTGATTGCCTCTCCTATCTGCACCTCCCCCAACAGCCCCACCCAATTGAATGTACTCTCATATATAATACGGTCTAAAGACTCTGATTTGTGCATCCAGCTTTTTGACATGGGTACTAGTGATCAAATTCAGGTCTTTATGTTTATGCAACAAGGACTTTAACAACTGAGCTGTCTATTTCCCTAGTTCCTCAAGCCTTTTTCTGAAGGAAGGAAAGAAGGGAGGAAGGGATGGTAGGAAGAAGGGAGGAAGGGAGGGAGGGAAGGAGGGAAGGAGGGAGGGGGGAAGAATTGCAGAGTACTTAGAACAAAGTAAATTAACCTACAGATAGAGCCAAGGATAGCTTACAAAACCCACTTACGTATCCTTCCTGATGTAGTGGATGAATAAATTTCAGTGTACAAAGTTGCAAACTTTTGGAGTGTTTTGCTCTTTTAATCCTTCTGGAATTAATAAGTTTTCTAAAACCAGAAAAGCAGACTCAACTAGGATGTCTAATTTTTAAACCTAGGTAGTAATATCCTTATGTGTAAATAAATAAGCTATATAAGAGAAGGAGGCACATTTCTCAGTAATCTTTCAAGTACCGTATTGGAGCAATTTACCTATAGTCTGAAATGAGAAGAATGTAGAATGGGGCGGGTCTTTTCCATGTCATGGAACCTCATAGTGATAGTCTCAGTGTTACGGAGCAGCAAGAATCTCTTCTTTTCAATAGAGTATTCTTTTGATTATAAATTTTTAGAAAACACACTTTTTTGTTTTGAGGTGCTGTTGCCTGAGTTTTCTAGGGTCCCTTGACCCTTGGTGCTATTAGACAAACCATATAGCACATCTTTATCTGAATTTTTCATAGTTTATATCTTTTGGGGGGAGGAGGGGAGCAACTTACAAAGAAACAAACACCCAGCACCCAGCAGTGCATGGCTCAGCCGGCCATTCCAGATTGCTTCCACACCTGCCCACAGTCTTCATTAGCTTTTACCCACTCATTGTGGGCCCATGGTCTCGCCCCAGGTCAGTAAATGCCCCCTCTCAGGTCCATGTGAGTGAGATACTGGAGCCATTCTTTTCCATGAGCCACTGCTTCTCCTCCAAGATGTCTTTAAAAGACCCTCCCTCCATGGCTAACTCCCAGCAGTCAATTCTCCGCAGCAGGCTCCGCCTTTCAGAGGAACCAGGCCGCTTGGGACACAGGTGTTTTTTTAAAAAAAAATATTTATTATTTTGATTTTATGTGTATAATTATTTTGCCTGCATGTATGCAAGTGTAACTACATGTGTGAGATGCCTGCAGATACCAGAAAGGGATGTCAGATCTTCTGGAACTAGAGTTATGGATGGTTCTTAGCTACTATGTGGGTGCTGGGAATTGAACCTGAGTCTGCTGGAAGAACAGCAAGTGTTCTTAACCACAGAGTCATCTCTCCAGCCCCTCATTTTTGTTGTTAAGACAGGGTCTCCATGTAGCTTCAGCTGGCCTGGGGCTTGCTGTGTAGGCCAGGTTGGCCTTCATGTCAGAGAGATCTGCCCACCTCTGCCTTCTGAATGTTGGGATTAACTACACCTAGCACAAAAGCCTGCATTTTTATCTCATATCTCTGATTAAATTACGTTTGAGGAAAAGATGGCTTATAGAATTGAAAATTCATCATGAGATTAATTTCCCGTATTATAGATATTTAGCATCATTAGATCTTTCAGCTATTATATATTCAGTAACAACAACAAAACATACTTCTGTGTGTTGGCATCATTTTAACTATGATATTAACTCATTTAATATGTAACTTGCAGTCATGTTATCCATATATGAAGGTGGAAAATGAGGTTCATTGAAAAGCAGTCCTGACTTGCCAGTAGACAAATTTGAATCCAGGCAATTCACTCTGATGTTTTTCCTCAACACTACATATTTAGTGCAAATGCTAATTTCATTGCATAGAGAATAATTTCAGTGGTTAGATTTTTAAATGTAATCATTTGAGTTTTTTTTTTTAAGATACTAAAGTTAATTGTAGACTGCAAATTTCAGAATTGGTAACATGGCTTTTTTTTTTTTTTCTATTTACCACTCATACATTCAACAAATATCAAGGTACAACTCAGATATTCTCAAGAACAAAATTCTGCCTTGTGGTCTATCTAGCAGAAATTATATATGTATATATGTAACTGCTTTCTCCATTATTTATTATGCATATATTATAGTTAAATATTTATGCACTGAAAGAATATTTTGCTTCTTGTTTGCAAAATACTTCATTAACTAAGTTTGATTATGCATATTTAGACTTACTTTTTAAAAATATTGTATTATTTTTATTTTATGTGTATTAATGTATTGCCTGCATGTATGTGAATGTACCTGTGTCATGCAATGCCATGGAGGTCAGAAGAGGGCTTCAGATTCCCCTGGAACTGGAGTTAAGGATGATTGGTAGCCTCCATGTGGGTGCTGGGAATCGAACCCCGATCCTCTGCAAGAGCAGTCAGTGCTCTTAACTGCTGAGCCATCTCTCCAGCCCCTAGGCTTACTTTTTTAAGAATAATATTATTATTACATAATATGCTTAAACCTAATTAAACAGCACATAACCTAATTTAAGCCACTTTGCTAAGACTTAGAATAAGATAAACCTCTATCTGAAATAGATTATAAACTACATTATAGATTGTGATTAAAGTGAATACCTTATACACTGCATCTTATATGGAAGAGCAGGTGATTCAGTTTCATTTAGGTGTAGAGAACAGCGTAGTTTGGTGGGTAAGAGTACTGGCTGCTCTTACAGAGAACTGGTCTGCTCCCAGCATCCACATGGTGGCAGCTCACAACTATATAACTCTAGTTCCAGGGCATCAGACACCCTATTCTGGTGTCTGTGGGCCCTGGCACAGTGGTACATATACACACGTGAAAGTGAAGCACTCATACACATAAAATAAAAGTAATTGAAATCTTAGATGCAGAGAACAAAAAATTTCCAGTGGAAGAGAATCCCTCCTATTAATGGAAGAGGCCTATGTCTAGTCTTTTGTTTGGTGGCTGAGTAGTATCCTTGTTTAGTCTCTTCAGATATGACAGTGATTTTATTTTTAATCTGTTTCATGACCTCATATGAGTTTGTTGTCGATTAAATTATTTACATCTGTTAGAGGATAGAGTAACTTAGGTATTAATTTCCAGATAGACTACTAGCTGGCAGGGATGTATTTTGGTTCGATTTATTTTATTTTACACATATTCCCCCTCAGAAGAAAGAAATCTGATTAGTCCAATTAATATACCCCAAAGAATGTATCTTCCTCCAATATGACTACAAGAAGCATACATATGTACATGAAGGGAGTTGAAGCAGAAGAGTAGAAAAACCCAATCATGGGGTTTATACCCTTAAGTCTTAGATTTTCGCTAATATTTCCAGGTTTGTATTGCAGAAAGGTCCACATTAAAGCAGACTAGTGAGTAGCTGGATGAAGGTAAGAGAGGGAAGAGCAGTGGTGGCAGAGTGGTAGTTTTTTTCAGAGCAGTAATGAGGGATTCTGCCCTGGCAGCAGTAGTCAAGGTAGTGAACAGGTAATCTACTTGGGAGATAGGAGAGGTAAAAACTGATAAGCTTTGGTTACTGATAAAAGTAGCTGAGAAGGCGAGAGGAAAGATAAGACTGACTGCACAATGCTTGGCTCACACATGTTTAGGTACCAGGTAGTTGTTACTCTTTAATGAAATAGGGAACGCAAGAGGAGAAGGAGATCTTATTAAAGTAATGATTTCACATTTGGATATAGCAAATTATACATTAAATACTTAATAATATCCATAGTTCACTTGGCTATGCACATGGGTCTTGATTTGGAAGTACTGGCTGCAAATTATTAAAGACGAAAGGTTCCAGCTCATTCTTTTCATAGTGAAAGGTACCAATCCTCCAGAGTTGGCAGTAAAAGATCAGTGGTCACATGAGGAGAGGTGGATAGATGGTCTAGTGTCCATATTTAGTAGAATTCCTTTCTTCAGGGAAACTCCTGAAGCTCCTCAACTTCCAACTTTGGGGGCCTGGTATCAAGGGTCACTGCTATCCCTTTTCTTTCCAACCTGAACTTGGTTACCAATTCTTCTGTAGCATGGCCGTGAAACCATTATGTTTACACATAAGTCTTTACTAGAGGCTGAGGAAAACATCAAGGAAAACTTGTGAGAATAATATGCCATAACTGATCTGGCTACTAAATATTTCTGGTGTTCTAATGCCAGCTTTCTTTCACCGTGCAGCATATCCTTGAATCAGGCTTTATGCCTCAAAATTCAGGCCTCCACATTCAGGGCCAGTAGAGCTGTAACTCCTGTCTTCCCTTCTCAGGTTCTTGTCCTTCTCCTTTTAAAGAAACAAAAGAAATATTTGGAGCCTTCAGAGGACCACTGTCTCATCCAGCTAAAATTGTATAAGTTTTAGAGGCATGGTAGATTTATTTCCTGCTTAGTTTAAATTATTCCTTAAAATTGCTCATTTTCCATAGCTCCTTCTGAAACATCTGGGTCTCGTAGTCTCCAGAGTTCTATCCTGTGATCCTGCTTGTCTCAACTAATTGGACCCATTACTAGACCTCAAATAGATACCTAACCCAGTCAGTTATCAGTTTAAAATCTCAGTCTAAAACCCAGTTAAGTCAAGTTGTATCTCTTCCTAGAATTTTGGATTAGGACATCAAGGTAAGTCAGTTAGTTCATGTTGAGCTTGGTCTAGGCTGGCTGTTTTGTTCAGACTTATGCTGGTGGATAAGCAGAGAAAACATCCACAAAAGAGTGCAAATTCCTAGAACATGACAAGTAGGTCAAAGAGAATGTGGTTCTATCAGAGATGAAAGGCATGTTTTGTCCTTGAGAATAATACTTTGCTCCCTAACCAAGAATGTCAATAAAGGCTTACAACAAGTTCTCTTAATGTAAAGCAGTTTAAATGGATGTCACTTTTTTTGACTCTGTTTTTGTAGCCAAATTTCCTCTTATAAGGCATGATGTGTCCAATTGATTCAATGGGAGTATGTCTTTTTTTTTTGTTTTTTTTTTTAGGGGAGTGCTGTTCCATAATTGATGGAGTTAATAAAAACATTTACCAGTATTTTGTTAGATTAATATCAAGATATCTGATGTGTTAGGCTTTTTATTATGTAGAAAAAGAAACTAGACCTTGAATTTTTAAATATTTTTTCCATATATATCAACTCAAGATAGGATTGCTGTTCCATAATTGATGGAGTTAATAAAAACATTTACCAGTATTTTGTTAGATTAATATCAAGATATCTGATGTGTTAGGCTTTTTATTATGTAGAAAAAGAAACTAGACCTTGAATTTTTAAATATTTTTTCCATATATATCAACTCAAGATAGGATTAAAGCATCATTGACAATTTCATCAGTATTCATTAGTTAGCACAGATGTCACCATTTTAAGAAAGGAACATGGAATTCAGTATTTAAATTCTAATCTTTCATTGATTATTATCATGATAAAGGTAATAATTGCCTTTTTTGAATTTTTTTTTTTTTTGAGACAGTTTGGTTGTATTGCCTAGGTGGGCCTCAAACACCTGATCCTTCTCAGCCCCCAAGTGCATACAGTTGCAGACATGCACTACAGCGGCCCAAATGTATTTTAAAATTTTTGTTAGGCAAGTTTTAGTATCTGTTCTCTATATGTATAAAAAGTACTGAAAACTCTTAAATCTATACCAGTAGCCATTTTATAGTAATTTTTTCTTTCATCTGTAAATAAAATTTTTATATATTTAATTCTTCTGTAGAATTCAAATATAAACTAAAATTTAATTTCTTTACAGATAAAAAAAAAAGTAGTGTGGAGCAACCAGCAAGTATTCATCTGTCGTCTAGTTATAGTACAGTATCACCAGATTCAACTCCTAGAAGCATGACTATTAATAATTATTATGGTTTGAAAGACATTTCAGAGGTAAGAAAAACTGACATCTGCTTTCTAAGGTCAAGAGGATAAGCGAGCATTGGTTTTAGTATATAATAAATAGTATATATAATTGGCCAGAAAAATGGCAAAATTGTAACTCTTAATTTCTCAAGAACTCTGTGTGTTGAGTAAACAGAACTTAATGCACCGTTTCAGTCTGTGTTTTATATATTCATGGCCCATCTTTGTGGATTGTTTACTTTGAGAAATCTCCTAAATTTGTTGCTTTTTAAATTAAAGGAAACAACAATCCAGAAAATGGAAAGGATGAAAAAAATGTAAGTAACAGAAAGGGGCAACAGGAACTCAATTTCTCTTTAGGGAACTGTATTGAATTACAGTATATATAGAATATACATATGTGTTTCAAACCTTAAAAGTCTCAATCAGGTGTGGAATTTCCTTCAAGACTCCAGTGAATAATAAATCCACCTACAGTTGTTTTGCTTTCCAGCAAGTGATGTAAAATATTATTAACAGAATTAGCTATGGCTTACAAAGATCAGAATGCTTTGCTTGTTAATTAATCCAAATTTGTGTGGTTTTGATAACTGATTTATCAAAATATTCAGTGTACTTAGGTGGATAGTTGGGAGACATTTCCTGTATTGTTTAAGTCTTACTGGTCTATTCAGTAAGTTATTGATAAAGCAACACTAATGATGCTTTTATGTAGTGCAAATGAAATTACATGTAGTTTTAGTACAGAGACGTTCAAAGGCAATATAGAATGAAATTCTGATAGAATGAAATTCATGAAAGAATGTCATGCACCTACTACCTTAAAAAGGAATAGTGCTCTTGACATTTGAAAAATAGTAAAATAATTTGTGCTACAAGAATTGACTTTATTTATTTTTGCTCTCTTCTGGTCATAGTATATTTAAATGTATTCATTGTAATCCTTCCTAAAAATAAGAAAAATGCTTAAATTTATTGTAGGCTCAAAAGCATAAATTTAACATCTTCAATCCCATTTTTCATTATGGATTATGTATTTAGTTAATATATCTATTTGTTCTATTTTAGGTTTGAAGAGACTGCAGAATTACTGAAATGCTCAAGTCACTAACTGTAGAGTGTTCTGCATGAAGTTCTCTAAGAGTTTGGCTACTTTTATATATTGTCTGTTTTAAGAATTCCTTATATAATTTTAATATACTGAAATATTTTATTAAGGATTTGGGTTCTGTTTGGTATGTGAGTTTTTTCATTATTGAATAAATACATCAATATTTTAAAACTATGATTGTCCTTATTTTTCTCTTTCACTTTTTTTTGGTAAAAATATATGTTCTGGTATATTGCTGTTACAGAGTGAAGTCATTATAGCCAGCACTGTATTTTTGTGTTGACATTTACTGGCAGTGTGCTAAGTAATATGTTTTTTAAAGTATAGGCTTGAGGACCATGGTTTATATCCTGTTGGAGACATTCCAACTTGGACTTGCATATTGTACCCAGGAGGTTTTCATGCATGCAGTCTTGCCATCTGTGCTGATGAGTAACTTGTAATGAAAGTTAAAAATGCTCATTGAAAATTAAACAAAAATACAACTTTTTCATGCTTAGTCAAAAGCTGGAGTATCCTTTTTGTTAACACTAGAAAAGTAAGTCAGTGATTCTCTTTTTTGGGTTAAAGCAGGTCTGAGGATTCACTGTGAGAAATTTGTTGAGTATTTTACTGCTCTGTTCTGTAATGCATTTAAAGAACAGCAGCACAGACACAGATGGTGGCCAGTCAGTATTAGAAGACACACAGTAAAGTTATTTTCTTTTCTAATGATGAGACGTTACCAAATTTTTTAGAGAAAAAGAGCCTTATATGAAGTTAAATTAAGAAAATGAAAAATCACATCAAAAGTTACCATGTAAATATCTTTATAAGTTTGTAAGTAAAACTAGTGCTAATAATTCTGAGAGGAAGTTAAGAAAATTGACTCTCCGTTATTGGAAAGATATTTTTCTTTTTGTTATATAGTTCAACTGATTATATTATACTTATCATCCCTTTGTATTATATATTTATATTATTTCACTGTTAAAGTAATTTTAAGATATAAGTAGAAACAACTTTTGAGGAAACAGTTTTTAGTGTCTTTACATTTAAAACCAATTTTTTTGTTACCATACAAAAGCATATAACCTTGAGTTTGGAAATGATTCAGGAGTGTATCTAGAATTAAAAGCTCCTGTTAACTTAATTTTTTTCAGTTGCAAATGCATTTAGAAAAATCAAGAAAATTCTTGGAAATAAAATGCTCCAGAGTATCAGTGACTTCTAAAATAATCAGAACCAGCATGGAGTTATAGCACCACCTTGTGGTTGCTGTGCCACTAGTTTACCTTTTATTAAAACAACCAATTTCTCATAAAATAGTATTTTCCTTTCGTGAGACAAGCACAATCCTAATTTTTAAAAAAATTTTCCTGTGGAAGATGGAGAGCAAGTTTCTTTGTATCTCTGCCTCTTTCCGTTATTTTGGTGAATCAGTTACATTTTTGTTTCTCATAAGTGAAAATGACAAGTGACAACTTGCCTGTGTAAATGACATTAATATACTACTGTGTATCTGATGGAGACAGTAGCTAAGACATACTGTTATACTGTTTTCTAAGAGAAGCTTATTTAATAAATCCAATACTACTATACTTTAAAATCAAGAAATCAAAAATGACCATTCACACACACAAAAAAAACCATACAGAACCCATAAAGTGTTCTGTAAGAAGGGAAAAGGAAAATCTGGAAATCCACATATTGGGAATTCTCTACTGAAATGAGGAGGCTCAAATTTGTTCCTCTTTTTAAATATTTATGGATATAATTGAGTTTTTCAAATGTTTTATTGAAAATACAGTCTTAATACATCTGATTTCATAATCTATAATGTAACTACTTTTACCTGAAGGCCCAACAATCTGCATTGAGGTACCCAAATTGATACTCCCAATTCCATAAAATCGTACAGTCAGAACTTCAACCAGCCACATGTTGTGGTGTTTGTACAGTTAGCTGGTTCTTGAATAGTATTTATTTTTTAATTTTTACAAATATACTGTCCCATTCCGAGGCCTTCACACTTAAGTGTCTCCTTACCCCAAAGGGCCACAGTGTCAGCTATTATGCAAGGTCAGTGGTGACTGTAAAAGGCCACAGGACACCAAGAAGTTGGCCTCAGGGATCAGGCAGCTGCCATGCCCTTTTTCCTTTATGTAGTATAAATACACACAAAATAAGATAATTTGGAGCAGTTCTAATCTATTTTATATATGATGTACAAAATACAGGTTGAAAATTTTTTTATATTAGCAAGTAGAAATTTGGAATACAAACTTTCAACAATTTAAAAATGAATAAAGTCAAGCTAGTCATGGTGGCAGACTCCTTTAGTCCCAGCACTCAGGAGGCAGAGACAGAAGGATCTATGTGAGGTGGAGGCCAGCCTGGTCTATATAGGGAATTCAGGCCAGCCAGGATTGTGTAGTCAGACCATGCCTCAAGAAAAACAAAACCAACAACTAATGAGATCAATTCATAGTAACAACATATATTTATAGTTGCCAAGAAACTGCCCATTATTTTTAAAATATTTGTTGGAAAAATAAAGCAAGTGTGAGTCATTGAAATTATTGAAGAGATTGCTAAATTATTCTCATTTAGAAAAGGTTTTCTCTCAGGGAATTTGGTAAGTGGTTTTTTTAGCAATAAAACATCCTTTTGATTAAACTGAAGGTCTCAGGAAGCTGCATTTATATGACTAACCTTTAACTGAGCATTCCACAAATTCTGTCCCTTAAAATTACTATTACCAACATAGGTGTCAGTAGCTTGTTCTGCCCTGTGAGACTTTCTGCATGTGATCTTATCCCAAAATCAAAGAAACGGTTGTTAGTAGGTCTGGATAGAACCATGCGGGAATACTGTAAGAAATCTGTAAGGAAAGTTCTAGTCAGGGTGAAAGAGAAGCCACATCAGTTACGTGAAAAGTCTCACTAAAGCCAAGGACATTACACTGGAGAAAATGGTTCTGACATGTTTGTTTCACTGCTGTTTTAATGTGATGCTTCAGCGTGTAGCATGTTCCTTATGAAGTTTAAAGACTTGGTTTTTGCCATTCTTGCTCACAGCTTCATATACTTGATCAGCACTTGGGGAGGCATTAAAAGCAAAGGGACCTTGTCAGTTCTACAAACTGCAACACATTTTTTTCCTGTTAGCACAAATAAAATTATAGCTTTCACTTTTACCTTTCAACAATCCCCAGGTTTGTCTCTTTCTTTTCTTTGAGACCAAATAATGCAGCCGGAGTAATATGGTAGAGGTGCATGAAACTTTAAACTACAACACTAAAACTTAATTGTTATGTCACTTGAGCTTTTCTCCTGAAAATGACAGGTTTCCTGTTACTCCCTAAGAAAAAAAAGGCTAGAAACCAAGCATACTACTAACAGCAACACTGAAAGCATTCAATTGACTTTTGTTGGGACATGTTGGGACATTCATTATGATTCGTATTCCTAATACTTGAGCAATAAGGGCTATGTAAGTTTCTCTCTCTCTCTCTCTCTCTCTCTCTCTCTCTCTCTCTCCCACTAAATCACTAAAATAAAATTTCTCTTTTCCAATACAAGGATTTGAACCCAGGGTCTCACACATTACACAAGTGTTCTACCACTAAGCTAATGTCCCAGTCATTTTATTTACATTGAGGGCAGGTCCTGCTAAGATGTTGAGACTGGCCTTGAGCTTGTAAACCTCCTGCCTTAGCCTCCCCAGTAGCTTGAACTGTAGAAAGGTATCACCATGGTCCATGGGACATTTATGTTATTTATGTACTTTTCCCTCCCTCCTGCCCTTCCTTTTGAAAGGATTTCACTATGTTGCCCAGGTTAGCCTCAAACTCCTGGGCTATGGTGATCTCTCTGCTTCAGCCTCTTGATTTTCTGGGCCTACAAGCATGTGCCAACACACAGATCATTAATTTTTTAAAAATTGGTTTGGTTCTTGATTTTAGGGTAGAGGGCTTAACCAATAAATAACCCAAATTCATAAATGATTTGAATTTCATGGATGGTATTAAGAAAAAGAGCAAATCACTTAAGAAAGCAAAATAGAATGATGAGAAGCCTAAACACTTTATAGGTTCATCTTTAGGTTCATTTCAGTTTTTATACATTTGCTGTGCAATCAACTTAAGTAAATCATTAAGTGTAGTTCTTTGGTTAATTTGGTGGTAAAATCTGAAGAGACTTGGAGGAAGGCATCTCAATTATCCTGTACTTGTTTATTGTCTTTAAAAAATTTATTTTATGTGTATGAGTGTTTTGCCTGCATGTAAGTGTGCCTGTGTTGTTTAGTGCCCCTGGTAGCCAGAGAGGGTGTTGGATCTCCTGAAACTGGAGTTGAGGATGGTTATTAGCCACCTTGTGTATTATATGAACGGAATTCCCACCCTCTGCAAGAGCAGCTAGTGCTCTTAACCATCAAACCATCTCTACAGCTCCTATAAATTGTGTCTTATCTTCATCTACCAATTTTTTAATTTTTAGCTTCCCATTAAACCTTGTCCACAGTGGACTGCTTCTTTCTGTATTCCCTCCCAGTCAATAGTGTTTCTGTTTTGGTTACCTTGGTGTCCTTGAGTCTTTTTTTTCTTTGCTTAAAATTAGAACCATGGCCTGATACATATTAAGAATGTGCTTTGCCTCCAACTTGTTATCAAGCTGTCCAACTTTTGAGTTATCTCTATTATTTTATTTATGAAAAATGTTTTAAAGTAAACTGTGAAATAATTACTTAAAACTTCATTTAAACTACAGTGGAGTCAAGATTGATCATTTTTAGAGACATTGCGTACTTTTGCAATTTTATTTTTCCTATCCCCTACTCTGATAAAGCTTTACATTCTCTAGGTCCTAACTGAGATGACTTGTTTCTTTATTAAAAAACTTTTTTTTGAGAATTTCATACATGATTACCGTATTTACATAATTTCTACCCTTCCCTCTCCTCTTCCAACTCTTCCTACATCCCCCACTCCTCTCAACTTTTTATCCACGTTGATTATTATTGTTATATATATATATTTACACACACACACACACATAAACACACACACAGCCATTTAGTGGTACTCATGTGTACATGTGTTTAGGGTTATTGACTTGGGATTGGATAACCTATCTTGGAGCTTGTCCATGGAGAAAACTGATTCCCCCACCCACAATGGCATGTCAACTGGT